ATCAAACCCAGTTCTCCCTGATTAGAGTCTGCGCACTTCACCACTACACCAAACTGGAGGATGGCTGGTCAGGAATGACAGAATGTGATGCAGGAACGTCCGAAAAAGCAACTAAGCCACCCTGAGCCTTCGGGGTAGGGCGGGATATAAATCTAAATCTAAATAAATAAATAAATAAACTCGAAAACGCTGCTATCTGGAATTCAGTGGTTACCAGCTTAATGTGTGGCCAACAGAGGACAAGCAAAATGGCGACCCTCGACTCTTTGCGGTCCCTGAACTTTCCCTGGTCCGCTTTGTAAGATGTCACTGCCAGAATAAATCCTGACCTTTAGAACTGCAAGTCGGAAAATATAAATTGCTGGACACTTTTTTTTTTTTTTTTTAAGTGTTACTGAATTTTATTGCAAAGGCACTTGTATTTTATTGCGAAGGCACTGCACAAAGCCAGAGCAAGAGCAAGTCAGACGGGTGGGTCTGCTCACCGCTTAGCCCACTGCAACCAACCAGCCCCCCTCGCTAGGTAGGCTGCAGCACAGGCTGAAGGACACAAGGGCTTCCTCAATCCTCTGCATATCAATGGCTCAGGGTTAATTCCAATCAAAAGGGACTTTCCCCCCAATAAACAAAGATTCCTATCAGCCAATGTGGATTCGAATGACCAAGATTAATTTAGTAAAAATGGGACTCTCGACTGAGGGTTTATTGGCGCAAAACAACACACAGGCGAGAAGTATAATTAAACAAAGGGTTTGTGATCTAGAGCACCAAGGGGATTTAATTGAGCTCCCTCCTTTCTGGTCCAAAATGACTCCAGATACGTAATAAAAATGGCTAAATATCTGACATCTGGATGTGCCACCCTATACAAGAGCTTTTACCCTGGCTTGCTGTGCAGCTATTCCCTCTAAGGTCCTAGAGGGAAAATATAGAAAGATACCATATGAAGACAGGTGCTGTCCATGTTCCTTGGGAGAAGTGCAATCAATGCCCCATATGTTCTTCCTTGTCATCAAGTCTATAGGGATAAGCTTACCTCTCCCCCCCCCCTCTTAGATAGGCCAGCACTTGATGCAGATAGTGCTGATGTAGAGACTTCTGACACAGGAAAATCAGCAAAACTCCAGACAAATAGCTACATTCTGCTTACAACTGGTAAAATTCCACAATAAAAACCCTCAATCACCTTTTGCATGACTTATAATAAGTTTAGTTTTAGACTTTTGTATAATTATTGTGATATAACGGACTGTTAAACTTTTCTATTTTTTAATATTTTAATGGTTTTAAGGTTATATGTCTAAATATATGTTTTTGGAACTGAAAGCTAACTTACTTGTATTTAACGAATATGTATTATTTTGATAAATGGTCTTTGACCGTAAATAAACATCATTCATTCGTTCAATCCTCATTCTCAACATGCAAGAAGTTACTGAGGTAGCAGAGAAAGAGAGTGTTGGGGTTTTGCTATGGGACACCTGCTTCCTTGACAGTAGAAAAGAGCAAGAGTCCAGTAGCTCCTTAAAGACTAACAAAATCTGTGGCAGAGTATAGAGAGCCAGTTTGGTGTAGTGGTTAGGAGCGCAGACTCTAATCTGGGATTCCCCACTCCTCCTCCACATGCAGCTGCTGGTAAGACCTTGGGTCAGTCACAAATTCTTACAGAGCTGTTCTCTCAAGAGCAGTCCTCAAAAGGGCTCTCTCAGCCCCCCACATACCTCACAAGGTGCCTGTTGTGGGGAGGGGAAGGGAAAGGAATTGTAAGACACTCTGAGACTCCGAGTGAAGGGCAGGGTATAAATCCAATCTCCTTTTCCTCCTCCTCTCGTGAGTCACTGCTCACTTCAGAATTTTGCCACAAACTGTGTTAGTCGTTAAGGTGCTTCTGGACTCTTGCTCTTTTCGACTGCCACAGACAGACTAACTCAGCTACCCATCTTGATCTACTTCCCTGGCAGAGTTAGGGATGCCGGCCCCCCGGTGGGACCGAGGGATCCCCTGGAATTACAGACATCACTTCCCCTGGAGAAAAATGGATGCTTTGGAGGATAGACTGATTGGCATTGTTCCCCATTGAGGTCCCTGTCCTCCCCGGGCTCCACCCCTAAATCTCCAGGAGTTTCCCAACCTGGAGCTAGAAGGGACCTGGCAACCCGAGGCAGAGTGGATGTGACGATCACATACTGAAGCTTCCTCTAAGGTGTCTGGATAAGACAATATAGCAATCTGAAGATTTACGTGGTGTGTCTGGCCCCCTAAGAAGCCAGCTCCCTTACTCTCTTTCTGCGGAACAGATCAAGGTAGAGATGGGCTCGCTCCTTTTCTTCCCTCCCCATTTTGAGTATGTCAGCCAAGAGAGGGGAGCCTCCAATTCCTTGGGTGGATCAGTATTATGCATGGGGGGGGGCTTCCAGAGAGTGGGTTGCCTGAGGACCCCTGGTGAGCAGGGGCGGATGAAGGCTCACTGGTGCCCCCCCCTCCTCTCCACACTGACCCAGTCCATTTTGGTTGTTGACCCGTCTGACCTGATATACAATGCCGGTTGCAGCAATACAAAAATCTATTCATAGGATAACACAATATACTGAACAAACTAAGCTTTTCACCCTTTTCCCAATTTTGTGGTGCCCCTCTTGGCCCTGGTGCCCTAAGCACATGCTTAGTCTGCTTAATGGTTATTCTGCCCCTGCTGGTGAGTCTGTAGCAGAGGCGAGACATGAAGCAGGGAGCTTAAGGATCACAGCGCCACCTCTTAGCCAATCGAGCTGAGAGACTGAACTGAGAGACTGAGAGATCTAATGGAGAGGACAGAAACGTTACCTGAGCAACTCTCACTAACAGCAGTTCTTTAAAAGCTGGAATTGGGTGCTTTTTTAGTCTCCGTTTATCAACCTGCTGACCTTCTAGAAATCTTTATGTTAAGCTGACGTCTTTCTTTCTTTCTTTCTTTCTTTCTTTCTTTCTTTCTTTCTTTCTTTCTTTCTTTCTTTCTTTCTTTCTTTCTTTCTTTCTTTCTTTCTTTCTGTAATACTGCCTTCATTCCATTAGTGGATTGTTCTACATTGCAACTTTGCTTTGCAAAGCACCCCAGGCACCACTGGTAGAGAGTTGTGGCCCTAATTTTTTTAAAAAATAACCTCATTTACTAGAGGCAGGGACAGAAAAGAGCTACAGCTGGAGCGTAAGCGTGTGCCAAAAAACATTAAAGGCTCTTGTGCCATCCTTGACTGCCAAGCTGCTGTTCTACACACAATCTGTAGGGGGCAGCGACCGACAACAGAAGAGTTCTGCCTTAACCGAGAGATAATTGAATCCATACTTAGCCAGCCCCTGGAGTTGCCTGGCCTATTTGGAATCTCACTATTTCTCTACAGAGTTCAAAAACAAACAAACAAACAAACTCACAGAGCCTATTTATTACTGAGTCTGCACTTGGACTGCACACTTTCAAACTACCAACATTCAGGACACGACCTCTCCAAACTCTGGATATCTTAACGGGAGGAGGGAAAGGGATAGAATGCATTGGGATAGGGGCAGCTCTCCTTCTCCCCAGGGCCCTCCGTGCCAACTTCCCGAAATTAACAGAGGACATTTTTTTAAATAACCCACATGTTTTTATTGGAAGATATGCAAACTTGCTTTTTATTAACATAAATTGAGACTGCCAAAAATAAAAACAAAAGGGGTAAAAATAGATATTGATAATGATATTTAACTTTAGATGGGGAGGGAGGAGAGAGAGAGAGAGAGAGAGATGGAAAGAAATCAAGAAAGTGGAAAGAAAGCAAATATGGTTGAACCACAGAATTGGACCCCCTGGTCCAATGTTCTTGAAAAATGGTGGGTATCTTAGGGAGAGGCTCCAGCAGCTACCATACGAGTTTGGAGCCTCTCCCTCAAACCCCCTCCTCTCCAGCCCCCAGAATATACCCTATGTTTTCACCACGGACTTCAATATCCCATAGGATATAAAGGGGCCGAAATTGACATTCGGTTGGCCAAAAGACTCCTGAATCCGCTAGTACTGCCGAAATTGACATGCAGGAGTATTTCTGCTGGCCGAAATTGATTCTGTCCGATTTGGCGGAATCTGAATCGGGCCGATTTTTATTTTTTTTGCACACCCCTAGCTTTTAATGTTTTTTTTTAAAAAAATTATGTTTTATTTTGCAAGCTGCTGCAGGCAGGCTCCCCGGAGGCATAGAAATTTGCTAAATATTTATTTATTTATATAAACCATTTCTATACCACCTTTCCACCTAAATAAGCCCCTGAGGTGGTGGACATCAAACATTAAAACATTTAAAATAAAGTACAAATAAGAAATTCAATAAAAACATATAAAAAGTCGTAACGTCAAAAAACCAAACAAACTCAGGGAGGAATCCAATAAAGTTACTGGGGATTATGCCAAGCAGAACAAAAAAGTCCTCACCCGCTGGTAGAGGGAGACAGATGAATCTCCCTGGGGAGGGATTTCCAAAGTTTTGGTGCCTTGGCCAAGAAGGCCCTTTCTGGGGTTGTCACTCATCCAGTCTCGTATTTCCTGACAAGATAAGCTTGAAAGCATCGTAACAAGGCCTGGGAGAACCTTAAGGGAGTGGGGAATCAAGCAACATGAGAGAGCCAGCGTGATATAGTGGTTAGCGCACTGGACTAGGACCTGGGGAGAACCAGGGTCAGATCCCCACTCTGCCACAGAAGCATGCTGGGTGACCTTTGGCTAGTCACACACTCTCAGCTTAATCTACCTCACAGGGTTGTGGTGAGGATAAAATGGAGGTGACGAGAATTATAGACACCATCTTGAGTCCCCAGTGGGCAGAAAAGTGGGTTATAAATGAGGTAAATAAATAAATGTTTTCATCCAGAGATGGGGGTCATCCCTACTTTCCAGAAATCGGAATCAGAATGGTATGCTCTATGGATAATAATCTCCTGGCAATCCCTGGGCCAAAAAGCCTTTACTTAGTCTCAGCCCGAGTCAGAGCTTTCTTGGCCCTTCCAGCTCTTCCAGGTGAGATTCCAGGCCCTGTGGAATCTGAGGCACTTCTGCAGTGCCTGCAACACAGAAAGGTTTCACCAGGCCCACGGCTGAGGCAACAAGGTTCCATCTGAATCGGCCTCCCCTAGCCCAGCCCACCTCGTCATTGTACTGGGCCCTGTCCATCGACACACAGGCTGTACAATCTCACTTGGATCATTTATGCTACCTGTGACTAATACCGCCATCTGTGCAGAGGAGGGTGGGCTATAAGTCCAATGAAATAAATAAATAAAAAACTAGGGCATTTGGGGAGAAAAAAAAACAACCAACAGAAAATGCCTCTGCTTTAGGGCTGTTCGATTACACATTTCCCCCCCCTTCCTTTTAATTTCACACATGCTGAGGAAAACTGTTTTTATCTCGCCTATTACCATAAACAATTATCACTTGTTACCTCCATGCCACTTTAATCCCATTTTTACATCCTAGGGCGTTCTTTATGCAACTGATGCAAAGATAAAGGTAAAGGTTTCCCTCGCTCGAAAGCCAGGCGAATCCGACTCCAGGGTTGCGGTGCTCATCTCCGTTTCCAAGCCAAGGAGCCAGCGCTGTCCGAAGACGTTTCCGTGGTCATGTGGCCAGCATGACTAAACACCAAGGCGCACGGAACGCTGTTACCTTCCCACTGAAGTGGTACCTATTTATCTACTTGCAATTTCTTGCTTTCGAACTGCTAGGTTGGCAGGAGCTGGAACTAGAGACTGCAAGCAACCTTCAGCAGGCTCTGAAGAGGCAATGTGGAAATATCCTAAATAAAATGCAATGGCCAAGTTTCTATCAAACGCTGCTCTATAAATTGGAAGCCACAACCCAGAATATACTTGGTCTGCAGAGACCCCAAGGGAGTTGCTGCCGAGTGACTCTCCGTACGGTTGCTGATGTCGTTGTTCTACATCAAGCTGATCGGCTACCTGGCAGACCTGTCCCCCCACATGCACATCTAACTGGAAACAAAATCAGAGAGAACAAAGGCTAACAGCAGCCAGTGTGCGAAAAGGCCCAGCAGTGGTCGTTCTTGGAGCTGGGGGGGAAAACACCCAGCTCACTAAGCAGCAAAGTGGGGGTGCTTAATCAGGGCAGCCGGAAATCTAGCTGCCCAATTCTGCAAGAAGCAGATACTTACTGCCGTTGTGTCAGCAGGACTTCAGAAGCCGGCCATACTTAAAGAGTATGTTTGGTGTAGTGGTTAAGTGGTTAAGACTCTAATCCGGGAGAACCGGGTTTGATTCCCCACTCTTCCACTTGCACCTGGCTGGATGACCTTGGGCAAGCCGTAGTTCTGATAAGAGCTGTTCTTGAAAAAGAGCAGTTTCTGTCAAGAGCTCCCTCAGCCCCACCTACCTCACAGCGTGTCTGTTGTGGGGAGGGGAAGGGAAAGGAGATTGTAAGCCGCTCTGAGACACCTTTGGGTAGTGAAGGGCGGGGTATAAATCCAATCTCTTCTTCTTCTTCTCTTCTAAAGCTCTCTGGAATTATCATAATACACTGGCATCTCGTGAAGCCAAGAAAAAGCATGAGTGACGACATCCAGCAGCCCTCTGCAATTCCGCTGATGCTCAGAGTTAGTGTGGTTTAACCAGGGGTCATCTCGTAGAAGAAGAGGTGCAGGAGCTCATTAGCATAACATATTTGCATATGCCACACCCCCTGACATCACCGGAAGTGTGTCAGAAGGCAACACCCACTGCTCAGGCTCCACTGGACTTTTTTGGATTGCTAGCTATTGGGGGGGGGGAGGTGCAGATCTGTCCTCGCAAAGGAGGGAGAGCTTGTACCTGAATAAAACTTGGTCTGGCTCCTGCCGCAATAAATTAGATTGATTGACTTGGTCCTAAAGGAGCCCCGGGGGGGCTCTGCTTCTTGCTCTGACTGAGGGCTGCTGGGAGCAGGGGGTGGGGCGTGTTGCATGTGCCCGCCCCCCGGGCTCTTTACTGCTGGAGCTCTGCTCCTGTGCGCTCCTGCAGGAAATGACCCCTGGGTTTAACAATGAGAGGGTCAGACTAGGACTGAGCACACCTGGCTTTGAATCTCCACTCAGCCACAGAGCTCAGAGTGGCTTTGGCCAATCATTCTGTCAGCCTAACCCACCTCGCAGGGCTGCTGTGAGGATAAAAGCAAGGAGAACCAGAGTTGCCTCTCTGAGCTCCTTGGAGAAAGGGCGGGATAAAAATTAGGGCAGGTGGGAAAAAACAAAGGAACTCTAACAGTGCAGTCTTGAGAACATCGAGCATGCTTCTGTAGGATTCCAAGGAGACCTGTTTAGGGCGGCCCCGTAAATTACTCAACAGGGTTAGTATTTATTAAAATCATGTATATCATTAATGCTTCTTAAATTGTCTGGACTGAATGTGAGGTATGGACTGTTCATAATGAATTGGAGCAAAACAATCAGAATGTGAAGCTTTCACAATAACTGTGTGTGTGTGTGTGTTTGTGTTTTCTCTTGTGATTTGGACCACGGCTCTGCCTGCTGCGCTTCCAATTAAGCCATCTTTCCAAAAACAACACAGGCTACGATTCAAGCACATCCAACGGAGATGCCCTTGCGTGCTCAGCAGGGACTCTGGTCCCATTCCAGATCCTGGTACTTGACAAGGCTTGCATTATAGCATGGCGGGGGGGACTGACCTTGAATCCTGGGGGGCCCTGAGCTCCCGGGAGACCAAGCACACCCGGTGTCCCTCTCTTCCCAGACATTCCTGGCGTGCCTTCTTCCCCGTCATCGCCTTGTTCTCCCTAATGGCAAAGAGAGAAAGAGGGAAAACATTTCATTCAGTTATTAGGGTTCCCCCCCCATCCTTTTACAGTAACACATGACCGTAATCTGCCCAAAGGTGCCCTGAAATGTGAGAGTGCCCAGCAATGCTCCCTCTAAGCTGTGGAGTCTTGTGAGCAAAAATTCTACTTTGTGAGCTACTGGCATTAAAGTTGTGAGCCAGCGGTTTGGCTGCTGCATAAATGAGTTTGCTCTGGAGCCCTCCTTCCTGAGCTACGACAAAAAGGTGTGAGCCAGAGGCAAAAAACTGTGAGCTAGCTCACACTAACTCAGCTTAGAGGGAACACTGGTACCCAGTCATGCCTGCAAATGGACCCTTCTACCTCTGATGAATGCCTGATTCGAGCTGTACATCTTCTTCCAGTGTGGTACCTGATTCCCCTACTCCATAGAATTCTGCAGGCTGATCCTAACAGCAAGGCAGAATGGATTGTTTTGCTTAGCACAAAAGCAAAGGACACATTTTTTTTTTCATTTCTTGCACTGGATTTCTTGCTAAGTTCCCTTTCAAACTGCTGGCCTTATAGTCCACATTTAGGAAAATCAAAGAGGCCATAGAAGTCTAAGGGTGGATCTGGGCCGGATCTTTGCACAAATTCCCGTTCTGAGAAGGGAAGCATTCCGGCTCCTGGAAAAGGAGACATGGTCAGGTTGCAGAATAGTAGACAGAAGCTCCTAAAGTGACTGGAATGACTTTACTATATCTAAGTATGAACTGAAAACAGCTCCTGGGCTGGAAAGGCAGAAGAGAGAATCACAGAATAACAGACTTGGAAGGGACCTCTAGGGTCATCAACCCGCTGCACAATGCAGGAAATTTACAAATACCTCCCCCCCCACACACACCCACAGTGACCCCTGTTCCATGCCCAGAAGATGACAAAAAATCTCCAGGATCCCTGGCCAAACTGGCCTAGAGAAAAATCGCTTCCTTAACCCCCAAAGTGGTGATCAGCATTTCCCTGGGCGTGTAAGAAAGGGCCACGAGAACTAAGCACTGCGGCAACCCTTCCTGCCCTCCCTTCTCGTGATCTGCCTAAGTTCACAGAATCAGCACTGCTGTCAGATGGCCATCTAGCCTCTGTTTGAAAACCCCCAAAGAAGGAGAGCCCATCACCTCCCGAGGAAGCCTGTTCCACTGAGCAACCGCTCCAACTGTCAGGAAGTCCTTCCTAATGTTTAGCTGAAAACTCTTTGGATTTAATTTCAACCTGTTGGTTCTGGTCCAGCCTTCTGGGGCAACAGAAAACAACTCTGCACCAGTGTTCCCTCTAAGCTGAGTTAGTGTGAGCTAGCTCACAGTTTTTTAGCCTCCGGCTCACACATTTTGTCTTAGCTCAGGAAGGATGGCTCCGGAGCAAACTAATTGATGCAGCAGCCAAATCGCTCACTTACAGCTTTAATGCCACTAGCTCACAAAATTGAATTTTTGCTCACAAGACTCCACAGCTTAGAGGGAACATTGCTCTGCACCATCCTGAGAAAAGGAACTTATCTCAGGAGACCCCTGACTACAGCCCCCATGCAGAGGAGCAGAATGACACAGCCTGAAAGCTGACACTGGTGGACCAAACGAACCCCCTCTTGCCTCTTCCAAGAACAGGAAGTCACAGTAAGAACTCCTGTATGCCTCAAAAGAGAGAAGAGGATATTCCATATCTTTTGTGATATGACTGAGTAGGAATCCTTCTGGTCAGGCATTCTGGTGGACAGAGAGAAACGCAGCAGCAAAATCCTTTGCAGCATCCTCTTTGGCATCAAGAGGATTTATCCATTTTATAGAGGTGAGCAAGCAACGATGCTCACATAGCAACACCCCACATATCTCATCCCTAGAAGCCCATTTCCCAAATGCCACAGAAGTGGCTGGAAATGAGCTTGGACACTCTGCAGGAGTACTTATCTAGCCCCCCCCCCCCCCCAGGTCGTGGAGCAAAGTACCATCACATCACAGTTGACTTATGGAATCTACTTGTGGGGTTTTCAAGGCAAAAGACATTCAGAGGTGGGGTTGCCATGGCCTGCCTCTGCATAGCAACCCTGGACTTCTTTGGTAGCCTCCCATCCAAGTGCTAACCAGGGTTGACTCTGCTTCGCTTCCAAGATCTGATGAGATCAGCCTGGGCCATCTAAGTCAGCTCCCCTGTAAACCGTTTCAATAATGACCTTCAGGCATCTAGAAAGTCTGGATTTTGATACTTTTGAGCTCAATGGGTGTGTTCAAACAGGCTGTTTCGGCCCGCCTCAGAAACTGATTTTATCTGCATGATCACACGGTCAACATCTGCCTCCCGTCCCCAGCCGTCGCTTTCCGGCTCAAAACTGCTTTAACCCAGAGTATTTTGATACCAGGTCCCCAAGTGGTGTTTTCCTGATTCTCCGGTTCCAGCCGCATTTTCCCCCTGTGTGATCGCGCCTCCGATGTCGAGCCACTTCTGGTCTAAACCCCCTCCCCACTTGAAAGCTGCCCGAGGCTTCCGCTTTTTGCCCACCATTTAAAAAAATGTGTTGGCGGTGTGCGCATAGGCGGAGGTCCGCCACAGGGTTATTAAAAACAATGTTTAAATGGTGCCTAGTTTTAGCCTTTTTAGGAGCTGCGGTGGCTCAAGTGGTTAAGACGCTGAACTGCAGGCTGTGGAAGGTCAGTAGTTCAGCAGTTCGAGACCCGAGTGCCACGAGACGGAGTGAGCTCCCGTCTCTGGCCCCAGCTCCTGCCAATCTAGCAGTTCGAAAGCAAGAAATTGCAAGTAGATGAATAGGTACCACTTTGGTGGGAAGGTAACATTTCCGTGCGCCTTGGTGTTTAGCCATGCCGGCCACATGACCACGGAAACGTCTTCGGACAGCGCTGGCTCTTCGGCTCAGACTCGACTGGCTTTCGAGCAAGGGAACCTTTACCTTTTTAGTTTTAGCCTTTAGACGAGTTCGGGATCTCAGGGAGGCCATTTTCGGCGGGAAACATTTAAAGGGAAATGTTCCTTTAAAGTTTAAAGGGAAGTGTTACAGCAGTCGGGTTGAAGAGGAAATCGCTGTTCTACAGATGGCTGCCTGTGCGCATGCCCAAACTGAGAGAGAGAGAAAAACAACACCGGCACGTGTGGGTGGAGGGGAGCAATGTGGCTGCGCAGCAATCTGGAGCAAGGAGGTGAGTGTGATCGCGATTCTCCAGGTTAAAAAAAACCATGCTGGAGCAGTTTAACCCGCTCCCAGCACGCCGTCTGACCGCACCCACTGAGGTGTCCACAAAACCACAAGCAAGGCTTCAGACTTCCAAATCTCAGGCTGCTCCAACCAGCAACTCCTCCTTCACCAATAGGTGAGGCAATCCTGAAGGGTATGAAATGCCCTCCTACTTGCACCAGAGAATAACAAGACAAGCCAAAATTGCCTTAACAGGGAAATGTACTCCATGATGCATTGGGTGACTATTTCTGAGCATATGCAGTATGCTTCCCGGACACTGCTGAAGAATTGCAAGTCAAGCTCCATGTCCTTATGAATGTGGTGTGGTAGAGCACTATTTCTAGGCAGGTTGAGAGTCTTGGCATTTCTCCCTTTTACGAAGTTAGCATTGAATGCACTGAGATCTTCCCTGAAGATTGCGCTTCTGGTGAACGGCGACCTCCTTTTCCCCAGCTCTTGAAACACAGTTATGTTGTTGCTGGAAAAATATCACTCTCCCCTCCCACCAACTAACTGGGCTGTGTGAGTAGAACTGGCACCAACTGGACAGTACCGATGAAGTCAATAATGATAACTCCCCCTCCCAACCAGGCTGACACTACAAACTTCCATGCTTACCTTTAGCCCAGCGCTACCATCTCTCCCAGGCACCCCATCAGCTCCAAGGGGACCCTCTTGGCCTTGCCTTCCAACCACTCCTCGGGGACCTGGTAACCCAACAAGACCCTGAGGACAAAAAGGTGCTCGTGTGACTGAGGAGCTTGAACACAAGAGACACAAAAACAGGCTTAAGCACGTCCACACTGGGTGGCCAGCCACACATGTGGCAGCTTCCCAAGTAGGCCACAGCAGGGCAAAAATAGCCCCATTGGGATTACATTTGCACTGTCTGGCCAGGCCTAATATTGAGTAGCACCAGATCTGCCCAGTAAAGCCCAAGAGGGTCCTTCCCCCCCTGCAGAGAATATTTTTTAAAAATATGCGCATGTGTGTGCGAGTGTATGTGCACCTGGAAGTCATGGCGACCTCTGGTGACTGACCCCTACTGGGGGCCTGGAGGATATTCAGAGAGGTGGCTGAGTAAAGCCTGCCCCTGCCCTCCCGACTGCTGGTATTCCAAGGAGGTCTCCCATCCAAGGACTTGCCAGAGTCGACCCTGCTTAGCTGCAGAGATCTGACCAGATCGGGTTTGCCTGGCCTGCCCAGGTCAGGGCTCTGCAGAGAATATTTGATGGCTAAAACCAAAAAGGGGCACAGGGTGCTGCAGATTAAACTCGGCCCCCCAACTGACTGCTGGCCACACAGTCCCACCAAGGTCAATGCCACTGAATTGAGTCATGAAGAAATTAAAGGAAAAGGCAACAATGCATTTGTTACCTACCGGTGTGCCTCTGCTGCCTGAGGCGCCCCGCAGCCCTGGCTTTCCTTTCTGACCCTTCAAAGGAAAAGGAAAAGAGATCACGACGGCTCCGGGAACTGCCAACACGGCAGTGCCACGCTGAAGTGAGGGACGAGGAATGTTCCAAGGTCCTCAAGCCTAACCGTGCAATTAAAAGTAGGATCTTCCTTTCACCCATCGACACGCCCCCTTCCTTACTGCCAGATGCAGGACTGGGATGGGCAAGTTCCCCTTTCAGTGGGCCCCCTTAATTCTCTCACTGGGTCCCTAACCTCCCTTGGGTGAGAAAAAAGCAAAGTGGAAATGGCTGAGCTGTTGGGACTGTGGGCAACTGTCCACTCTCCGGGGGAGGGGGGGGAGTCCTGCGGATACCTGAACTCTCTGCCCTCTGAAGCCAAACCTGCTCCCTCCCCTATAATCCCAGATTGATCTACACCCAGACCACAGGTTTCCACAGGGAGAGCGAGCACGCGTTGTGCCACAACAGGGCGGTTCCGAAGTGAGAGCAAGCAAAGATTAACCTGGACATGACCGAAAGCCGTGATAACCGGGGCTCTTTTTGTAGAAAAAGCCCAGCAGGAACTCATTAGCATAATAAGCCACACCCAACAGCAGGAACTCATTAGCATATTAGGCCACACCCAGAACAGCAAATTGGCACATTAGGCCACACCCCCATGTTACCAGAAGTGTGGTCATCCAGCCACACCCACCTTTTGCTTCTTATTCTGTTTACCTTGTTTGTTGTCAAAACCCAGGGCCTTTTTTGAAGCAGGAACTCCTTTGCATGTTAGGCCACACACCCCTAACGTAGCCAATCCTAATGAGTTTCTGCTGTTGGGTGTGGCCTATTATGCTAATGAGTTCCTGCTGGGCATGGCCAACTCAGGAGCCAGCCAGAACTCCGTTCCTGTGCGTTCCTGCCCAAAAATAGCCCTGGTGATAACCATCTCCCACTCCCCCGACCAAAACTTAAAGCAACCACAGGATCGGAGAGGGAGTAGAGGCTAGAAAGGCTTGGGGAAGCAGAGCTGGGAGAGGGGCTTTAATCCCCCCCCCAAAGCTGGTTTCCCTCACCTCTCCTTCCTAAGGCTTTGGCCTTTGGTGGTTTAGAAACAAGTCTGAACAAAATACACCCAGACGAGAAGAGACCACACGAATTGCCCTCGTCCCTCGCTGATGTCCGTGGTGATTCTGGCTGCCGTGGTCAGGGAGGCGGCACAGCAGGTGACACGGACTGGGCTGGAGGCGCTTGTGACGGCTCCTGTTGAACGGCTGGTGCGATGCAAGTCAGAGACACCCACGGAGGGGAACCTGATGGAAGTTGCCATCTGCCTCCATTGCCAAAGTCCCACACAGCTGCAGCTCTACCAAGCCTGATGAATTTGTTCCTTTCATCAGGGCTGGCTCCGGCTTTGGGGGAACCTGGAGCACGATGGCCTTCACTGCCCCTCTCCACATTACTTGCACAGCCCCCCTTGTGCACACACCACCTTCTGAGCAAGGTAGAAGGGTGCAACGCACGATTCCTTAAGCCCCATCACAGTGCCAGCCAAGCCGAAAGGAGCATGAGAGACTCGGGCTGTCCTCCATTCAGGGGCCTCAGAGGAGCCGGAAACACCTGATGGGAGCGAAGGGGCCCCGTCGGCAGAGGGCCTCGTCAGAAGGCCCCAATGCTGGTTCTTTGTGCCAGTCCTGGCTTTTCACCTCCGAAGGCACCCAACACTGTAAAGCTACCCAGAACTTCCTACAGCTTAGGAACGACACAAATGATTTGACCCACACTGAAGATCCCACAGCAGAAGACGTCTGGCAGGCTGGAATCTTTTCCACTGGCCAAGCCTTTGCCGGACAATTATCTGAATGCATTCGAAGCCGTTCCCAATGACAGGACACATCCAGGGCTATTTTTGGACAGGAACGCACAGGAACGGAGTTCCGGCTGGCTTCAGAGTTGGCCACACCCACTGCACCCAAGCCAAGGGAAGGCAGTTTAAACTGCCTCCCCTCCCCTCCAAAGGCTGGCTTGCCGTGGGGTGCCCGGGCAAGCCAAGGGACGGCATGGGGGTGAGGTCTAATATGCTAATGAGTTTCTGCTGTTGGGTGTGGGCTACTATGCTAATGAGTTCCTGCTAGGCTTTTTCTACCAAAAAAGCCCTGGACACATCTATAACCTTATCAGAAACTAGGTTTGTTTGTTTTTTTAAAAAAAGATCATGGGACAGGTCGTTTTAAACCACCCTAAATTTTTATGTTTAGGAGTCTCAAAGATTTACCAGTGGCTGCGGCAACCAAGAGGGTCCGGTCAACTGTCCCTTGCCTACCTGCTGGCCTTTGGATCCTTTTGGCCCCGGTCGGCCTGCTGGTCCCGGATGTCCCTAAGAGAAGAGAAGAAGCAGAGACCGTCTGCCTGAATGCCCTGCTGGCGGATGTCTTTCACACAGGACAAAGGATACTTCATTGTGCCTCTGAGAGCACCAGCTGCATGGAACTGCTTTAATGAGAGAGCCCAAGCAGGAGATGAAAGAGCACTGAGAGAATCCCAGATGGATTCTGTAGCCCCACAATGTAGACATGAAAAGCCCCCGTGTTAAATGTTGGTTTCTCCCTTTTGTAAGCCACACTGTTACAGAAATTTTTTTTTAGAATGCATAAAGGAACAAAGTAAGAATACGGGGGGGAAATGGGCAAAAACCCTCCCTCGTGCTGGAGAACATGTTAAAAGAAAAAGAGAGTTTCTTTGTACTTCCCAAATTGTAGAGGGAGCTTTTCAAGGTGACAACACAACTCCTTTCTTTGCTCAGGAGAGGCAACTGGATCACGGGCCCAGATCTGGGCTCTAGTTTAATAGCTCCTAACTCAGCCGGGATATAAAAAGGAGACTGGAATCAGGTGCTGCAGTTCCCACGGCTACCGGTGTGACCTCGCTAGGCTGCATCTTTGTATAAAGCTATTTTGCATGGAACACTTGGTTTGCTCTGGAACGTCAGTTTTTGCTTAAAGAAACCAAGTTTCTAACCCTTGGCATAAAGGTTTGGAAGTACAGAGTACCCCTTGTGGAAGGTTCAGAAACCAAAACCTTACATTCAGTTTAACACGGCTAAAAGTGTCAACTGATGTGTTTGAGGGACATGACCAAAATTAAACCTAAGACTGTGAAACTGAGTTAAAGGCATCTTCATCCCAGTTGATGTGTCCATTTCCCTCCCCTACTTCTGCTGAATGTTAGCTTGTGTGAGCTCTTTGGGACTTATCTTCATACGCTTTTTCTGGACCAAACTGTACAGGGTGTGGTGAGATATGAGGGTAGCTCCAGCCAGCATTTCTTGAAATAAATGACAGCCATGTGTGGCTCTCACTCAGGCCCAGAGTGCAGAGGAGGAAGAGGATTATCCTTCCCACACGGTGCAGTTTCACTGATCAAATCAGACACCCTCACCAGCTGTGACTGATCTTTTAGAAAGCGAGTGCCTTGCCTTTCCAGACAGAGACTAGCTCAAGGTGGCTCACAAAATATTTTTTTTAAAAAATACAATAAAATGTGTGGCACTTGTATGACAGGCATGACTCCTCCCCCATCAGAAGCATGAGAAGTAATTTCTCCAGAGTATTTGTGAGTGCTGATATCTTGCTGTCTGTGTGTGTCCAGCGGCATGTAGCCACGATTTTGTGGCTTGTGGGGTAAATTGGTTTCTGGCGGGGCTGAAGTTCCCAGTGCAGGAAGAAAAGCCATCGAGCCAATAGAAAGCTGTTACCACGATAGATCTCTGAACTGCAAGCTGTTGAGATGACAGTTCTCAGCTGCTGCAAGTGAATCACTTCTGCCAGCCGAAGCAACAATTCTGATAACGAGCCGGCAGGTGGGGGTGACGACTTTTATAGTCAAGAAAGCTAACACTTAGGCAGAAAAACTCACTTAAAGGAGACCAGTTTCTTGACACAGATTTGGAAGGGATCCTAGAGGTCACCTACTCCAACCCCCTTGCTCAGTGTGGGAATTAGTCAGCTACAGCACCCCACTCTGCTTAAAGGAGCGCACGCCTTTAAAAATGTTTTTAAATGATTGAAAAAAGCATTTACAGGAGAAATTCTTGTGGGGCTGTGCCTTTAAGAAAGGGGGCAGAGCCCCCCAAAGCCCCACCATAGCTATGGGCCTGCATGTGTCTCTATTGTATCTCCCCATGTCCTGTGGATACTTTTGTGTCCATGCCCCTCTCCCCACCCATGCCACAGTGTTTTCAAATAAGGGCTGGGGAGGGAAGCTCTGTCCCTCTCACACACGCACAAGATTTTAACCTTCTTGGTCCCCACAGTGGGAATTGGCGGTGGGACCTTTTACAGTCATGGGGTCCCCAAAGCCCCCATTCCTTTGTACACCATGTGTGCTCCAGCGGGTATCAGGACCTTTCAGAGGGAAGGTTCAAGAGTTATCCGAGGAAGGGAGTGTCGACTCGTGAAAGCTCATGCCCCGAAAATCTCATGGGTCTCTAAGGTGCTACTGGACTCAAACCTAGCTGTTCATGCTCTGGTGGTCCTTGGGCTCTGAATGAACATGGCGAAACATTTCCCACCCCTCCCCCACATACTGTACATACTCAGCATTAGCGGCTTAGACCAATAAACGTTAAGTCAAAAAAAATCACAAAAACATAGGAGTTATTATTAATAAAACAAGTCATAAAAACGTGCCAAAGCACAAGCAGCATAAAATGCCATTCAGCAGCTTAAAATGATGTCGACATAAACACGTCCTCAGTGCAAACCGGACCATAACAACAGCTTTAAAGGATGGACTCCTGGAAGGGAAACAAAGGTCGGGCAAAAAGGTGTGTCTTTTTTCCTTGCCCAGGGTTGACAACAGGTCAGGAAAAGGGGGGGGGGGCTTCTGCTGGTGACACTGCAAATGGTAAGCAGAGTTTTCACACCGTGCCACCAGTCTAAATCAGGGCCACACATCATTGCTGTTTTCTTCTTCCAAAAACATCCCGGGAAGATCTGATCACCAATCTCTCAACGCCACCTCCACCTTGCTAGGCTTACTGGCGTACAAATAGGAACAACGGCAACAAGAAGAGGTCACTGCATCCTGGTTCGATCGTCTATTATGCACTCACACACCCTACCAAAACAAGAAAACCACTTCAAAAAGGAAGGAAGTTAGCGTTTCTTACAGGTAACCCTTGCTGTCCAGGCTTTCCTCTCTCTCCATCCAGGCCTTCTTGGCCCTAAAAACAAACGAGAGGAAGGAGCAGAGTCAGCTTATGCCACGGGATACTTTTATCTTATTGCACCAATTGTATGGTTATGCTGCCCTCCCCTCCAAGGAGCTCAAGGCAGCATACGTAGCCCTCCCCTTCTCCACGTTATCCTCTCAACAGTGCTGAGAGAGAGGTTAGACCGAGAGGATCACAACGGGTCCAAGATCTCCCAGTGGGCTCCACTCATGGCTGAGAGGGGATCTGAATCCAGAGATCCCCCCTGATCCATTACTGTGACCACCGCCATCACACTGGCTTTCTGTACAGGGGCAGAAAAGAATAAACAGCTGTGAGCCCGGATCAATTAGTAATAATTTGAATATCATTATCAGTGCAATGCAAGCCCTCTCGGATTACGTAAGAACTTCAGAAATGTTTGATCCAGTCTAGTAACAGGAGGGAGGGAGGGAGGGAGGGAGGGAGGGAAGGAGGGAAGGAAGGAAGGAAGGAAGGAAGGAAGGAAGGAAGGAAGGAAGGAAGGAAGGAAGGAAGGAAGGTAGGTTTATAAGATATGAAGTGACAGACACAGACATATAATGGCAGTCTTCAGCATGAAGAACCTGGTCTGTTTGTTTTAAGATGAGATTGTTGTACCTGTTCTGCAAAACACCCTATCCATGGAGGTCACCATATTAAAATAACACTAAATCTACATCACCACCACCACCCCGCAAAAAAACCCTAAAAAAATCAAACATACTCAGGGTTCGAATGCAGCCGCCAATGTTTTTTAAAGTGCTGGATTTAGTTCACATTTCTCCTTATTTCCTCTTCCCAGAAAGTAATGCCTTCCCCCTTGCCTAATTCCATAGCTCCAGAAACTCTGGTTGGTCCCACCCGCCCTGGTCCTCTCTGCCTGCACGACCTTCCAAGTTTTGCCTCCTTTCCCCGCTATGCATTTGGAAAACACAAATGCTACATTTAGTTCCCTGTAGCCTGGCACCAGATGAAAGGCACTAGGCAACAAACTGACTGGTGAATGGTGCCATTTTCGAGCACAGGGAATTAATATTGCTTTTTGAAGAGCCAGGGATGGGGGGGGGGGTGAGATCAGGCATCTTGAATCCACTGAGCCGACCACTGTTAGGTGTCCAACACATGTCCCTTTATGGGTGGTTAGTGGAAACGGACAGCTGACGGGGCCCCTCCCACTGCCCATTCTGAACCTGCAGAAACAGCATATATATATATATTTAGCTTGGGCTCACACCCATATAAAGGATCTCTTTGGATGACTGAATCAATAGGCCTGGTCTACACATGCAGCGCCAATGAGATGCAGTGAGATAACAAAGCCTGTCACACTTCAATTTGCCTGGGGGCGGGAGGAGAATCATATATTCCTGATTCTGGCCATGGAGGAATTGGGGAAGATCCTGCTAGCTAGCAGCAGATGAAAAACATCTTGCTGACTTTGCTCTCTTCTCTGCTCACAGGTATATATGGCCTGGGATTGACAGGAGGCGCAAGCCGAGAGGCAAGAGCCCAAGAGTCCTTTGGCTTGGGCCTGGAGTCCTTTGGCTTGGGCCTGGAGCTAGGCAGGAGATCAACCAATGGAAAGAAAAGACCTGCCGGACCACTGGAAGTCTCCCCACCGTTATGTGTCCAGTTTGTTTTTTCTCTGTGCATTGCTGGCTGCTTTGGATCCGCACCGGGGGGGGATATAAATATGCTATAATAAAATAAAATTTTACAATTTTACGCTGCGCCCAGCCTTTCTAATTCTTTACAAGTAAAAAACAACACATTGTGTTGGACCCTGTAATGTATTGGAAATCGCTTACATGAATCCCCTCATTCACTCCCCATGCAAAGCTTGAGCCGGATGAAGGCTCCACTGAACTGCATTGCCATTGGTCGCCCTCTAACAGCGACCAATCAGAAACTGTACAGGCTTCAGAAGACTCTCATTGGTTTTTAACTACACAATCTTATTGGTTGTTATCTGTAAATAGGCGTGGCTATGTTAGCCCGGGAATGTTTAAAAGGAGCCTAGCTCCCAATGTTAAACTGTTCTGGTTATGAATGCGTTTGAGTGCTTGTTCGTTACTTCATTAAAGCTGAATCACTTTGCTGAAATCACTCTCGAGTCTTTGTTAGCGGTGATCTAACAGACCCCAAAGCAGCCAGAGCAGTCGATGAAGACTCAACCTTTTTCCTGGTCCTCCTATCCTAGGTTGGCCAGAAGCGCTCTATAAAACTCCCAGGCGAGGCTACTCTTAGTCCTAGGCATTCTTCCAACAACGAGCTTCCACGGGTTTGTTTGTAAGAAGTTGTGAAACATAAAGAGCATCCCTGTTCGGTCTGTCCAAATGTTCATCTAATCCAGTTTATCTACTGCACTACGGGATCGTGTCAACCATCCCGAGCCTGGAAATTAGAGAGAGCCTGAAATATAACTTGGACTTGTTTCGGTTTGGATGACCACAGTGGCTGACCAGATGCCCGAAGAAGTCTACAAGCAGGGAACAGAGGTCAAGGCACACCTCCTCCGCTGCTGCCCCCAAGATGTCTGGTTTTCCACCTTTTAACCCTTGCTCCTCCTGCCATTTTCGTCTTCTGCCTCACTAAATCGTTCCCATACTGCTTTGATTTGTGTTCCCGGACGTTAGTCTTGTTCCATGTACACTGGCTTCCAATTTACTTCCGGGATCAATTCTGGATGCTAGTATTGACCTTTAAAGCCCTGGACAGCCTGGGACTAACTTACCTTGAGGACCTGCTTCAGTTGCCCCCACCATCTGAGGCTAGACAGGTAGTGACCGATGTTCCCTCTAAACTGTGGAGTCCTGTGAGCAAGAATTCTTTTTTTGTGAGCTACTGGCATTAAAGTTGTGAGGGAGCGATTTGGCTACTGCATCAATTCGTTTGCTCTGGAGCCATCCTTCCTGAGCTAGGACAAAAATGTGTGAGCCGGAGGCTAAAAAATGGTGAGCTAGCTCACACTAACTCAGCTTAGAGGGAACACTGGTCATGACCAATGTTCCCTCTAAGGTGTGGAGTCTTGTGAGCAAAAATCCTAACTTGTGAGCTACTGGCATTAAAGTTGTGAGTGAGCGATTTGGCAACTGCATAAATCAGTTTGCTTTGGAGCTGTCCTTCCTGGGCTAAGACAAAAATTTGTGAGCTAGAGGCTAAAAAACTGTGAGCTAGCTCACACTAACCCAGCTTAGAGGGAACACTGGTCGTGACCTGAGGAAGGGGCTTCTCAGTGGTGGCACCAACACTTTAGCACTCCCTTCCCGTGGAGATCTGGCTGTCTCCTTCTATCAGTGTCTTCCGCCAGGGGGTGAAGACTTTTTTCTTTTGCTTGGCATGCCCCCAATAACTGCTACCGGCCCTCTGCCATGGTTCGGGTATTGTTTATGTGTTTTTATTGACTTGTGTCACAATTCTGAATGTCGTTTTTAATTGTTCAAATATATGTATGTGCGCCACACCTTGGGAGGACCCTGATCGGGTGGCAAGGCAGCATTAAAATGTTTTAAATCAACAAACAGCCACAACTCATGTCTATCGGGCCACGGGAATAGGGTCCCTGAGATCCCGCTCACCCCACTGACATGGCCCCAAAACTCCAGAGGGAGCCTCATCGCATGGCCTGGGATTCTGGGACAGACAGAAAGCCTATCGGCCCCGTGTCATGGAACATCACAGAGAGGAAAGAACTGTTCCCAAGATGGTTAATTTCCTAACCAGGCATTTGGAGTAGGACTCACAGGATAACCAGGGTCTCCCGGCTCCCCACGATCACCTCTGTCACCAGCTGGGCCCTAGAAAGAAGGCACAAGAAATGTGAGATACAGAGAAAGCACAATCTCGTCGCTCAAAGGCCTGCCGCATGTCCTGCTTACTTGAGAGGTCAGCTTAGCTGTCACCAGAGATGCTGCTATTTCATTCGTTCCCACCATTTTGTTCCTTTTAAGAGACCCGCCTCTCAAAGGGGCCCAGCTAGTCTGAGCCTTCCATCTGACAATGAGTGAAACGCCTCTTTTCCTAGAGAGCTTTGGGTTGGAAGAGAAGTGCTAGTTGCAGCAGGTGGGTCAGGGAGAAGAGCAAAGCCAAACGATTCAGGTTGGAAACGAGAGCGCTGCCCACTGACCATCTGTTTCCCCACTTCCAATACAGCACCAGTGAAGGCTGAAATCTCTCCTGCAGAGGCAAGAGGTCTCTCCCCAACCCCCCAGGTCGTGCAGTTGATTAACCCAGGGCTTACTCTGTCTCCAGGTGGACCGGGAGGCCCCTCTGTCTTCCCGTCATCGCCTTGTTCTCCCTGCAAATGAAAACACCAGTATTGAAACAAGCCATGCCTTACAAACCAAGGAACTTTGGTGAGAGCAAAACATAAACCCCCCCCCACATGTCAAGTTCCACAGCAAAGTAACTCTCCACACACATTTCCTAAGAAGTGTTATGCTTTATTAGAGAACAAAATTGGTACCATATCCACAGGATTATTGTTAAGAATGACTACGGGGCGGGAACATCCCTACATATAGCAGGACGAGGCAATTGGCTGAGCAAATGAATTCCGAGCCCGCACGCGGGAATTCTCCCGTGGGAGATTACATAATGAGCAGGAGACTCGCAGGGTCTCATGAGAGCAGTAAGATTCACACCCGAGGTGGAACGCAAGCCCTCCCTTCCTCCCAAGGTCAAACAGATAGGCCGTCTGGCATAGCTGGGTCCCACGGTCTCCTAAGCAATGTTTACTGCAAGCTGCTGAGCTGTGAGCAAGCGGGAACAGGGAGGGAAACAAGCAAAACATGACAGCTAGCTGATACCACATAGACAACTGGTTAGACTTTTCCAGTTCCACCATGGCTGGATACAGACCAAGTCACTGGGAAAAACCAAGGACAACGTTTTAAAGCCATATAGCTTGCAAAGAACTAGGATTGTTTTATTTAAAAAAAACCTTATATCCAGAAGGGGAAAAAACCCCACCCCATGCCGCCACCACTCCGTTACTCATGGGATCTGTAATCCTCCAGTGATGACTAAGAGATGACTGATCTATTGCATGTATATTCTGACTGCCCCCCCCCCCCCAAGAGAGACAGGGCACTAAAGTGCTGACAAAGTTTTGAGACATTAGGCTCCTGTCTTGTCAAGTCCAGAATATGCAACTGTAGAAAACACAACACAGGCTGCGGTCACACAGAATATTAGCCACACTAGAGAGATGGAAGACAGGCAGATTTTCCAGGCGTGATCTCACCGCCACATCTGGGAAGCGTAGAGCTCCCGTGGCTCACCTGAGGCTTCCCGCCGAAGATACGGGGTAAAAAACTAGTACCTCCGAGGTACTAGTTTCTGGTAACCATGAGGCAAGGGAGGGCGTCTGATCGCGTTTCCGGTGGCATCTGGCGCCCACCCATGTCCCCTTGCAAAAAGGTTTCCCCCCCCCAAGTCTCCATGGATGCGCACAAGCACCCAACCGAGCATGCGCATACTTTGGTGTACAGAAAAAAACAAACCCGTCTGCCGCACTGCGCTGCTTCTTTGCCGCGCCGCAGGATTGTCCTGTGATCGGCACCTCCCCCCTACCCACGGGACCTCCACGAGACATCTGATCGCACAACCATGCGTTATTTTGCCCCGGGGCAAACAGCCACGCCTCCCCCCCCCCCGATATCCAGCCCGTGTGCCCGGGGCCGCAGATGCTTAAAATGGGACCCAAATCACATCCCGTCAGGGAACTCTGGGTGGCAGACATGGCTCCCTTTTTACCCACACGACTATCTAGTGAGGTGAGTCAGGATGAGAGATGACAGCTGGCTCAAGGGGACCTACTAAGTTCCACGGTACAGTTGGGATTTGACCTCAGACCTTCTCGGCCCAGCACTTTAAACACCGCGTCACAAGAGGTCTCAGATGCAATAAACCACTCTCTAAAGTACTCCCCTGTCCAACCACAGCAGCTTTAAAGTCTGTGCACAAAGGGATCCCCAAAAAACCAAGAGTGGTTTCCCCACATTGTTTTGGCCAGGTTCTACATACCCCATGCTGCTTCATGAATGCATTAGACAGGTAAGCGTGACCATTTGGTGTAGTGGTTAGGACAACGGACTCTGATCTGGGAGAACCGGGTTTGATTCCCCACTCCTCCACAGGCAGCTGCTGGTGTGACCTTGGGTCGGTCACAAGTTCTTTCAGAACTGTTCTCTCAAGGGCAGTTCTCGAGAGAGCTCTTTCAGCCCCACCTACCTCACAGGGTGTCTGTTGTGGGGAGGGGAAGGGAAAGGAGTTTGTAAGCCGCTCTGAGACTCCTTCGGGTAGTGAAGGGCAGGGTATAAATCCTATCTCTTCTTCTTTTTCTTCTTCATTTCATCTCGGGTCTCAGACTTGGGTCCAAACTACACTTTGCATACACCCCATGGTTGCCACGGGGACAAAGAAGGGTGCCAGCTGTGAGTTTCTCGTGGAAACCCAATTCAGAAGCAGTGACACGTGCAGTCCCTTCCCCCAACTGGGCAAATAGCTCTCCTCGGGGCCCATCCTACCCCCATGCCGTGGCCCCAGTCCAAATCAGGCTTCTGCAGCCCTTTCCAAATTCAGTTCCTTGCAGCAGGCGTCCTACTGGAAGCCCCTGTGATGATCACATCGTAGACATAACGTGCAGCCTGGCCCTCACCCAATCGTTCTGAAAAGGAAGGAACAGTTGGTTGGTGTCACTGTTTTAGAAACAAGTATTTTTGTCGCAGTAAGAAGGATCCAAATCAGAGGAAAAAATGTATTCCCAACAGGACCAAAAATAGTATTTCATAAATCAAACCGGAAATTGTAGTCAGTTTCAATGATGGCAACTTTCTTCTCAAGTACTCTTGAATGACAGAACGTTCCCGCTACAAGCTGTGGAAAGCTGCTTTCCCTTGGAAGCTTCTCCAGCAGCAGCATTTATAAATTTTACTAATATATAACATGGTGTAAGGTAACAGTAATATATAACAGATCGTGCGCAGGTTAACACATGGCGAAGATGCGGGCCTTTTAACAAATAATTCCCTTCAAATAAAACCTAGGACATTTAACACCTGGTTTCGTCTTCTCATAAAGCTGTCACCCAAACATTCTTCATTATTTAACTATAAAGCACACGAGACAGATCAAGATGGGTAGCCGTGTTAGTCTGTCTGTGGCGGTAGAAAAGAGCAAGAGTCCAGGAGCACCTTAAAGACTAACAAAATTTATGGCAGGACAGGAGCTTCTCCTGAAGAAGTGAGCAGTGACTCACGAAAACTCATACTCTGCCACAAATTTTGTATAAAGGATGGCGGTGGTACAGCTTCAGGGCTTTCTGGATGACGCTTCCATGTTAGATCCCTTCCAGTCCGGCTTTTGCCTGGGACACGGGATGGAGACTGCACTGGTCGCTCTTACAGACGACCTCCGAAGGCACCTGGATCGGGGCAGTTCGGTGGCGCTGTTGTTACTTGACCTGTCAGCTGCGTTCGACATGGTCGATCACCAGCTGCTGGCCCGCCGCCTCGCCGATGTGGGGATACAAGGGCTTGCCTTACAGTGGCTTGTCTCTTTTCTCCAGGGTCGGGGACAAAGGGTGGTGCTAGGGGAACAGCAGTCCGGGAGACACCCACTTGAGTGTGGGGTGCCCCAGGGCGCTGTGCTTTCCCCAATGTTGTTTAACATCTATATGCGCCCTCTTGCCCAGGTGGCTCAGAGGTATGGGCTGGGTTGTCACCAGTATGCTGATGACACCCAGCTCTATCTGATGTTGGGCGGCCGGTCAGACTCCAGACCGGAAGATCTGGACTGGGTGCTGCAGGCCGTGGCTGGTTGGCTTAGGCTGAGCCGGTTGAGGCTGAATCCGGCGAAGACGGAGGTCCTGTGCCTGAGTCGTGGTGGTATGGGGTTGGGGGTCCCACTCCTGATGTTCGATGGGGCACTGTTAGTGCCATCGTCAGAGGTTAGGAGTTTGGGAGTGTTCCTGGATCCCTCCCTGACAATGGAGGCCCAGGTAGCAGCTACTGCAAAATTGGCCTTCTACCATCTTTGGCTGGTTCAACAGTTTGTTCCGTTCCTCGACTGCTGCGACCTGGCTACAGTGATCCATGCGACAGTCACCTCGAGACTGGACTACTGTAACGCTTTCTACATGAGGCTGCCCCTGTCTCAAATCTGGAAGCTGCAGCTGGTGCAGAATGCTGCGGCCAGGCTGTTGATGGATCTCCTGCGTCGGGAGCACATCCAGCCTGTTCTTAGGCTACTGCACTGGCTGTCAATAGCATACTGGATTCGCTTCAAGGTGCTGGTACTTACCTTTAAAGCCCTATATGGCCAGGGTCCGGCTTACTCGAGGGACCGCCTTTCCACATTTGTTCCCCAGAGAGCACTACTGTCTGGGGCACAACAGCGTCTAACTATTCCGGGCCCCAAGGATGCGAGGCTCACCGTTACCAGGGACAGGACTTTTTCGGTGGTGGCTCCTTACTGGTGGAATGAGCTCCGGGAGGAGATCAGGGCCCTGCGGGACCTTTCACAGTTCCGCAGGGCCTGCAAGACGGAGCTCTTCCGCCAGGCTTTCAAATAGGAGCCGCCACCAGTGTTACCACCAACTATGCCATGTGTACATCGGGAATATTGGACTGGCCCACTACTGACGGCGCCATTCAACATCTGGCCCATAGGATTGGCCTGAAGAGCAGAAAATGATCGGAATGAAAACGCACGCCATCCACTTTAATATCACTTAATACTGCGAGCATGTTAATGTTTATTGTTGATATTAAGTATGTTTTATGCTATTTAATGTTTTATGGTTTTATGTGAAATCGGCATATTTTGCCATCCTTTGTAAGCCGCCCAGAGCCTGTTTACAGGGTGGGCAGGGTATAAATATAAGTATAAATAAATAAAGCACACGGTTTTGAAAACACACTTTTCAAACAATTGCTGTTTGGGTTCATCATTCTTGGTTTAGTTTGTTTTTTGTCTCCAATTATTAAGATTAGCATGGACTTCACGTTCCTGGGATCCCAGATCACCGCAGACTGTGACAGCAGCCATGAAATTAAAAGATGCCTGCTCCTTGGGAGGAAAGTGATGGCGAACCTAAACAGCATGATAAAAAGTAGAGACATCACCCTGCCAACAAACGTCCACATGGTTAAAGCAATGGTATTCCCAGTAGTCATGTGTGGCTGCGAGAGTTGGACTATAAGGAAGGCTGAGCGCCGAAGAATAGATTCTTTTGAACTGTGGTGCTGGAGAAGACTCTTGAGATTCCCTTGGACTGCAAGAAGATCAAATCAA